ACAAAAAAAATATAAAAAAAAGAATGCAAAATGGGAGGGGGATAAAAAAAACAAATCACAATATCCCTTGTAGAAAAAAGATTGTTTTTGGCAGTTGTATGTTTCTTAATATAGAAATGATTACGTCTAAATCGACGTCAGATACAGGATATATACATATATATATCATATACATGTGAAGTATTGTTTACAAAATGGTGAATATAGAAACCTTTCAACAAAGAAAGCATCATGTTTTTTATAGAGAAATTAAAGTTCTGGCTAATACTGTCAGTTATATATCTTGGATAATCATTTATTGAGATACTGTTGACAATCAGAGAGCAATAGATCGTTAAGATGGATAATGGCTAGCAGTGGAATACAGGATGCGCGTTTCGTCCTATTTGGGACTCCTATGCTGGATGTACCTGCATCTCAAAGTTGATGTTAACTCTGGGACTCTAATCCAGCACCTCCTGCTTCAAATGCCATCGTGTTATTATTCGAGTCCCAGAGTGAACATCAAATCTGAGATGCAGGTACATACAGCTGATGAATCCCAAATAAGATGAAACTTGCTTCCTGGATCCCACTGCTAGCCACTATCCATCTTTGGTTATAATGATTATTTGTTCTTACTATATAACACAGTTTATAACTTCGCTTTTTCAAATGTAGAATACAACTATAGCACTACTTATATCATGATATATAATCATGTTTTATTGTCTACAATCTAATAATAATTAATCTTGTATTTTATTAAAGTTTTACATTCATTCAGTCTATATTAACTAAGAACAACGACAAAATATTGAAAAGAATAATAATAAAATATGTAAATTCATCACCTTCCACCTCTCTTGAAGTTTGATTAAAATTACAATATTGTACATTTGTTAATTTATATGATAAATTGTGTTTAATAACATGTAAGTAAGGAAACAAGTAAGTAGGTACGTGAGTACGTAAGTAACATAGTAAGTAAGGGGGTAAGTAGCTAAGTAAGTAAGTGAGTAAGTAAGTAAGGTGGGTAAGTAAGCAGGTGGGTAAGTAAGTAGGTGGGTAAGTAAGTAGGTGAGTAAGTAAGTGAGTAAGTAAGGTAAGTAAGTAACAGGTTCCATTCTATAAAAAATTTATTGAATAAATAAATGAAACATTTAGATAAGAAAAAAACATGTACAAGTATGAATGGCTTCCTCTTTTGTTTAACGTTCCTTTTTTTAATGTTAAACGGAAAACTTATAAGTTGATCAATATTGATAAAAGAAAAACGAACTTAAAATAGTAAATTACTATTCTGTTCAGTTAAGCTTTCATGATTGTCGAGATCAGATTAGATTATGCAATATTATACAAATATTGTCAACAGTCAGCTGCAACTTGGAACCAGGCACATATATTCAGATGTCCAAGTTGCCATAACTCATTAGCACAACAAGATGAACACCGGATTCATAGAAATAGTTAATTTAGTAGTGATAATATATAAAAGGAAGATTGTATATAAGGATATAGTATAGGAAGAAAGAAAGATATGAAGCAATTTTAATTTCGAGGTTTAAGGGAAGATAAAGAGTGTATACACCTACGCCATTGTGATCGATTCCAAGCCATGTCACACAGAGTCTCCAACCATTGATTACGATAATCACACAGACATCAACCAAGTAGTCTGCATCTACCAACATGGCTCAGACTAGAAGTTAGTGACTTCAAGCACTGATGCAACGTTTTGGTTTGGCCGCCCCTAACTCTCTTCCAACCATCCCCTACACTAGTCAGCATAGTACGTCGTGGTAATCGGTTTTCAGGCATACATAACACGTGGCCTAACCATCTCAGTCGATGAAAATTCATAACCTCATCAACTAATTTGGCATCATTCTCTAATACCCTATGTCTAACCTCACTATTACTTACCCGGTTATTTCAGCATATGCTAGCAATATTTCTAAGGCATCTGTGATCGAATACTACTAACTTACAAGTATCTTCTACTCTTAATGATCACGTTTCGCACACGTAAAATAGTTACTTAAGCTGTACATTCGTCTATATAGTTATATAGTAGGCTAGAAAAGACTGTATTATCAATTGATTCAAGAATAAATAACAAATAAGATTGAAGAAAGTTTTCTTTTCGAGGAAATCTCAAATAACAGTAGTCAAGCAAAATTGTATTTCAAACAACATTTCGTGACTTATATTGTAAAACATTTCATCAGAGTTATTTATTTACTCTGATGAAGTGTCTTACATTAAGTCACGAAACTTTATTATTATTATTATGATTATTAGCTCCCTACTCAATGCTCAATTTATTTGAAACTATCCAAATCTAACCACTGATATGGATACCTTAGAGATAATGGTTTATCAGAGTAGTAAAGAAGAAACATATCTTTTTCACCTTCTCTTAAAAAGGCGGGTGGTTGTTTTTCTTTTTTCAATCCCCTAGAAACGTTTATGGGATTATAGTGAGTTATATAATAAAGAAATCTTAAGTAATCATATCAAATGATAAACAATGATGATTGTATATTAGATTGAATTGGTCATTTGAATGGTTGTTCGAAAAATAGTTGGTTTCAATATAAGTAGTCAAATGGTTTCAATAATTTTTTTTCTGGTTAGCATTTTTTTTAGCGAGTTGGTTTTCTACGGGATAGGGTTGCTAATCCCATGCTCAACCCTCCTCCTTTACCAGGGATTGGGACTGGTAGTAGCCACAGGAGGAGCTACACGCGTAAGTAAGTAAGCAAGTAAGTAAGTAGCCAAATAATTAGATGATCAAATAAGGGATTTTTGTTAGTGGGGAAAAAAACTCGAAAAAAAATGAAACCCAATTATCATGGCAATCAAATTGATTGACTTTATTCAGCTGATTTTATTACGAGAAAAATCAATCATTTTATGATATAATTCTATTGACAAACTTTATTATATGATACATATTATAAGTCAGGTCAGAGTGGGTTGTAGAATACTGGTTGGCAGACTGTCCTCCATTGGAGGTAACAGGCATAAGTAAGTAAGTAAGTAAGTAATTATAAGTCAGGTGACTTTTGATACGATGAAAATCACTTAGAAATTATACAAGCTATAATGTTAATAAACATATGAATCTCGTGTAACATTAAAGTCCAAGATATTTGTTACTATCTCTTTGTTATTCTTTAACTGACTTTAACCTACGTCCAAGTGATGATGTTCATATTAGGACTCAAATTTAGTATCTTACATTTTGAATATTAATACTTTATTCAATGAAGTAGTGAGTTTAAATTTTTATCAACTTCTTTAAAGGTATGATGTTAATATTACTGTTGATAAGAATTCGAGTTATCATGTTGGTGATAATCATGACTGTTTAAAAGTTATTGTAATCTGTAAAAGCTTTGAAATTCGATTAACTATTCGTATTTAACATATGTATTTTAATCATATTCTCCGAAAGTCATTTACCGAATGGATTGTGATTACTTAGATAAACAATTTTTTTCAGATTACAAATTATGTTTTTATCAGTCAGTCAACTACAACGTAGGATCAAGCACACATGTGCATCAGTATAAGTTGACATACTTCATTATTACGACAAAATGAACACCGAATTCATAGAAATAGTTAATTTAATGGTAGTAATATATAAAAGAAAGATTGTGTATAACGATATAATACACGAAGAAATAATTATTTTGTAGAAAAAAAGGTATAAATTAACTTAAATCTCACGAAATTGAGCAACTGTCCACTATTGTCATCAGTGTGTTACGATCTCATAACAGACCTAGTTGAAGTATACTCGTCACTGCTTCTCACTACAACTCTAGGAAATATATCATGAAGCCATATACTAGTGAGCATATGATTATTATTAGAAAGGATACAGGATACAGGACATCAAGTCGATAAACTAAAGTCGTTCATTGTGAAATCTGCTAAACCTATAGTTATCAAACATCTAAAACCAGATCTGTGTTTTTAAAAAAAAACGAAACATTTCATCCCTTTTATTACGTCATTCATTATTTCAACTCTATCTGAAGTTTTGATTACATCAGACTGATTTCTTATTATGATTATTCTGGATTCAGTTACTCTGTTAACTGTATAATCTTTAAACACTAGTTCAATGATCTGGAAGTTTCCCTGTCAAGCTTTATTTATTTATCCATCATATGAAGTGAATGTTTGTATAAGAAATAAATCATCTACTATAAAAGAAATAAATAATGAATTAGTAATATCCTAATAAATAGAAAAATTAGATTTTCTGATGTTTCGTAACTCAGTGTCAGCAACTTCTTCAGAGAATGATTTATTCTATTTATTTATAATAATCTGTGCATACCTCAATTTATTCCAAAATATTAGAAGGGGTTTTGTGAAGATTTTAATAGTTTTTTTTATAGTTGAATTCATGATTCATTTAAAACTAGAGGTATTTCCTGAAGTTTTAATGAAAAGCAATGATCAGTGGAGTCCAAACCACGTCTGTGATGAGATATCAACTCACTGAAGACAATTGATGAACGGTTGTTCAACTTCATGGATCAGTTGAAGTTAAAAATTAACACCGTTCAGTGCCGTTTCAGTGGTCTAACGGTTAAGTGCTTCGGTGCGAGACTGATAGGTCCTGGTTTCGAATCTCGCTCACGAGGCAGGATCGTAGATGCGCACTGCCTCGGTATCCCACAATAGGACGAAAAAGCAATTTACTGCTTCGGGGTTTACCTTGGTGGTCTAGTTTCAATCGAATCGTGATTTCAACCATAAAAATATCAATTTAAAGTGAATGGTTAAGTATGAACATTATTCTTTTTCTCATTTTTTTTCTTTAATTTATTATCTAATACATTGGTTTATCTATTTGTTACTATGCAAATTTTTTTTATTTTTTTTTCTTTCTACAGGTATGATTCAAATCAATAATAAATAAAAATTTTTTTGATTTTCTAAAATTTTTATTATCGGCTCAATTACCAATTTTTTTTGTTTACAATTTTCATCGAATGTCATTTACTAAACAACAATTGAATACATTCAATATTATTAATTCATTATATCAAAACAGTAATAATAATAATAGTACTACTACTAATATTAATAATAATAGTAATAGTAGTAACAGTATTAGTATCCACACTGATCCCTCCTATTATAATATTAATAATATTATTAATAATAATAGTAATAGTAATAGTATTAGTATCCATACTGACCCACTCTATTATAATGAATACTATTATGGATATAATAATAGTAATAATAATAATAATATTACTATAAAAATTATTATTATTATAAAAATTATTATTTATATATTAATCATTATATCAGCCTTATTTGGCAATGCCTTAATCTTTCTAGCTTATATTAAATTTAAACAATTACGACTTATCAATACTAATTTATTTATTATCTCATTAGCTTTAGCTGATTTCATTGTAGCTTTATTAGTTATGCCATTGAATGCTATTATGTCATTATTAAATTATCAATGGTTATTTGGTCATCTATTATGTAATTTATATAATGCTACAGATGTATTATTTAGTACATCAAGTATATTACATTTATGTTGTATATCAATGGATCGTTATATTGCTATTATATATCCATTACATTATAATAATAAAATGTCTAAAAGGCATATTCTGATCCTCATTGGTATCATATGGACATTATCATTATTGATATCTTATATACCAATATTGATGGGATTACATAAGCCTTTACAACAACTGAATTACGTAACACCAATACAAACGAATTCAAGTAGAAGGATCCCAATGAAACCAACCATAGATAATGATTCATTCACATGTGATTTCAATGTAAATCCATATTATGCAATTATATCATCCTCCATATCCTTTTGGATACCATCTATTATAATGATTATTATATATATACGTATATTTATAGAAGCTAAAAGACAAGAAAAAAAAATTGCACAATTATATATACCATATAGACAAGTGAATAATACTACTGTCATTCAACAAATTAGTAGTATTAATAATCATGATTTAAATCATATTCATTTCAATGATCCTTCATTAGATTCAACTATACATGAACAATATCATACACAAATTAAATTACATCATGAAAATAAAGCAGCTCGTACACTTGGTATTGTAATGAGTGCATTTCTATTATGTTGGTTACCATTTTTTTTATGGTATACTATAAGTAATCTATGTCTACATTGTACATATCCAAATGAATTAAAAGAACTATTATATTGGATTGGTTATTTTAATTCATCTATTAATCCAATTATATATACATTTTATAATCGTACATTTAGGCAAGCATTTATTAAAATTATTATATTACATAATCATACTACTAATAATAGTAATAATACTACTAATAATAATCATAATGAAGAGATACAACAATCATATATGGATAATAATAATAATAATAGGGGGTTACCAATATCACGGCGATATCAATATAAGCCAGTGAATAAATTAATTACTAAAAGTATTAAACGAAGAAATCATAAAAATTTTCATAATCATATTAGTTTAATTGAAAATAAAAGTGAATTGAATGATGTAAGTATAATATGTACTACTGATATTGATAGAGATAAGTAGTAGTAGTAGTATATATATATATATATCATACATTGAAAATGAAGCAGACTGTGAAGAAAATCCAGGGGGAAAAACAATGAGAATACTAAGAATGATGAGTATGGAAACAAACAAACTATGGAAGCCGAAAACAAGTGATTGATATTCTTCAAATGAAGGATATACTATATGGTTCTAAGATCTTACGAAGGGATTCTGTATTATTTGTATTCAAATACATTTGATTGTTCACATTTTTGTTCCCCCCGTTCACAACAAAATCATTTCAGATTATATATAATTCATTATATTATTCATGAAATGTATCATTTCGATGTAATATTTGAAGTTATCCAAATGAGTGGAAACTATTACATTCTTTGATGTTTTGTAACTCAATATAAGAAGCTTCTTCAGAAAATGAGTGGCTTGATCAACATTAATTCAAGTTTTATTAGTACAATCACTCTTGTTTTATACTAATGTGTATATATACAACAGAGAGACAATTATTCATTTATCATTATTGTACATAAGTTCTTCACTTGTTAACAAATACTAAAACTGTTGTATCGTGAAGACAATTGTGAATGGTAACTTTGAAGGACTGTTTATGGACCAATGTAATATACATATATATATTTTCTATTGTATAATAGTTAAGTAACTAAACTATTCATATACGTGTTCCTTTCATTGTGAGCTTTATTTTGACCTTTGAACTATTATTGTGCAATTTACCATTCCTGAGGTATATCCAGTCTACTAATTACTTCCCCCTCCCACTATTCACAGTCACATTTGGCTAACTCTTGTACAAATGTTATTTTCTATTTTATTGGTACGTTGTAGTCAGTCTATTTGGTATATAAACTCAATATGTTTGAAATACAAGGATTCATACTACAGAGGCTGTTATTGGTGTTTTGGACTTAAGTGGCTGGGCTAGGCAGAAGCAGGACCGATAAGCGCTCTAGACTGCTCGTACGGTTTCCGTGGATCACCATTCCAATCGATAATTCGTTGCTCTCTCATTGGCGGTCTTATCACATCACATATCAATAAGGCATCCACTCGGCCACAAGATATAACAAAAACATAACTATTTTGTTTGATATGAGAAGAGGTTTTGTAGTATTATATTAATTGTTTAATTGTTGAGATCATCAGTCAGTTGAAGCTAAACCACAATGGAAAACGTGGAAGCACTAGATGGCAGTTTCGTCCTATTCAGAGACTCCTCAGAAGTGCACATCTGCGATCCTGTCAAATAGAAATTTTGATTTATGTTAATATATATTAAAACTTTTATTGTAAATAATCAATATTATAGACAATTCAATATTGAACTTCTTTACTTTATTAATTTACAAATAAAAAACAGCGAAGTTTAAAATGACCAGAAAAGTTTGTTCTGCCTTTTTTTGGTTTTTAATCCCAATCGTTTATTTTCATAGTTGAAATCATGAGTCAATTGAAGATAGACCCCCATGGTCACTAGTGACTGACTTCAAGAGATGTTTCCTAGAGTTCTAGTCGGAAGTAGTAACCAGTGGAGTTTAACCAAGTCTGTTGTAGAGATATTAACTCACTGAAGATGATTGGTGAACGGTTGATCAAACATGATGGATTGGTTGAAGTTAAACATTAACACCACTGTATGCCGGTTGAGTTGAGTGATCGTCAGTTAGAAGTTAGCAGTCCAGTCAATCGACATTCAAATAATGTTCATTTTTTTCGCTGCATGTTGCCAACAACCGCGATATTTCTGACTGGCTTTTTTGTAATTTCTACATCGAAAGGTTGTACACGCTTCATAAGAATACCCCAATAAGTTATGACATTAGTAGCCAATAATGATACATTAAAACAAACAAAACTAGATAAGTTGTTGAAATATCTAGATGTTAGGATCAGATAGCCCAGATGTTCAGGCAGACCACTATGCCATACACATATAAAGAGAGAAATGGGACGTTGTTGGGTTTGTGATTTAAGACCAGATCTTTGTTCTAATTGGGATTTATCAACCAGATGCACCTAAATCCAAATATTGATGTTCACTTCAAAGATTCGACCAACTCATTATCTACTTAGTTATTCTATTCAGATACTCATTCACTTGTTTAACTAATATGAATTCTAATATAATTTGTAATGATCTGTATGATCCTGATCCTGTTTTCATTCAGTTTTGATCAAGACAAGAATCATATATCATTTATTCTTTATGATATAAACTTATGAAATAATAATAAAAATCAAGTCCCAATTCTCATTGGCTAGACATAATGCAATTGAGACTGTTGAAATTTATAAATAGAATTATGTAATTATATGTTAGTTGTTTGTTGGACTGTAATAAGTATGTCTGAATATAAAATTAAATTATTAGACAAAAATAATTGATCAGAAGGGGGTTTTGTAGAGATTTTAGTCATTTTATGACTGAAATCATGAGTCGATTGAAGTTAGGCCACCATGTAAAACCTGAAAGCATTAAACGGTTGTTTCGTCCTATTGTGGGACTCTTCGACAGTGCATATCCACGATAACGTTCTGTTGTGAGATAACAACTCACTGAAGACAATGGTGGACTGTTTCTCAATTTCGTGGATTGGTTGAAGTTAGACATTAACACCGTTAGATACCAAATCAATGGTCTAGAAGTAAAACATTCTCACGTGAGACTGATAGGTCCCGGATTTGAATCTTACGAGGAAGAATCGTGGATGCGAACTGCTGAGGAGTCCTACAATAGAAGGAAACGGCCGTACAGTGCTTCTTGATTTTCCATGGTGGTTTAGCTTCAAATGACTTATGATTTAAAATAAAAGATTACTAAAATCTCCACAAAACCTCCTTCTGAAAAAAATGGTTCTCCAAAGAAAAGATATAGATGTTACAACTTTCTCTTGAATATAGAATTCAAGCTTACTAGCTTGAATCTCTTTTACTTCTATTAAAGAACGAAGTTCATTAAAAAAAATGTGAAGCCATACGATAAACTATTGTTAAAGTTGTGCTTTTAGGCTTTTCACTGTCATCTTCAAACTCTTGATTCGTTTGTTGAATTATCAAAGATGAACTCCGGAATTTGATCTACGTCACTGTGTATTTATAAGCTTAGTTATTCTTGTCAAGTAAGTTGCATTGGCTGAACAAAAAAAAAACGCCATTCTAAATACTCCTCCAAGAATTATACTGTTGGATTTTAAAAAAGACGAATATAAAACAATCGATAGTTCAATGTTAGAACATCTTGATAAGTATCGACACACTGTTCCAATCTATATACCTTTCAAAATTATCTATACAATAGAAAAGTTTGGTTCAAAACGGAACATAAATCAATAACTTATACATTTCACTATCAAATTCAATAAATAGAACACAATTGGAATAATTTACCGGAACTTAACAGTCAAACTGATTATCCATTGAATAGTGAGTGAATTCATGATCTTCTAGTATTTAGTATTGGTTTATTCTATCGATTATAAAGTATGTTAATACTAAGAAGTAACAGAAACTGGAGTCGGTTAAAACTCAGTGTATACATTCCTATCTAACAAGAAACTATTCACAAATTGAATATGTCAGTGATAACATATCCAGATATGTCATTGTATGATGCTAACTAAAATCGCACACACAGATTATGTTTCCCTTGAAATTATAGATAAATTTCATTAACATACATTATATTATATCTAGAGCTTAGATTCTTGCTATGCCGCCTACTACTAAACTACTAGAACGATCGAACCCTCAAAGTCGTAAAAGAGAGAAGACAGAAGACTAGTAAGTAGGTATTTTATTAACCAAACAGTGTCAAATATATTACAAAAATCTTATGAATTTATAGTTTTTGACTGAAAGAAAATCATTTCGGACATCCAATAGGCACATAGTGTGTCCTTCTTATTCATCCAATAGAGAAGCTGCACATCGACATTCTAGAATGTTCCCCTAGTTGTGATTGGATGGAATGTCTTCAGCTCTTTCTGGGCTTCTTGAAACTTCCTTGAGTTTGCCAACGAGCCATCCTTACACATTGACAAACACTAAACAAAGCATCAGGAATATCTGACGACTAAATAAAAATCACAATACATACCTGATCTCTATTAGTTGCAAACGTTGTTTTTGGTAATCAAACGATTTGATATTTAAGAATGCTACTAATTACAAGTTGGGCATTTCATTGAGTTCACTGAATCGAATCAAAGGAACCACATATACATTTGGTAATTTTGTATGCATTAACAACAGATATATTGGTCTGTATTCACTCACTATGAACATGCAGTAATAGAATGTTCATTGATAAATATGATACTAGTAATGCCAAATAAGTTTTTCATCGAATTCACATCAAATTAATGATGAGTGGAACATTCTTCGCGATTGTATTGGTACTTCAATTTGGATAGTTGCATCAGTACACAAACAGTAATCTAGAATTGGGTAAACGTGTGATAATAGTACGATAAACTATCGACAATAATAAGTAGTATGAAACAAATAAACCACTATCATGTCCATTTCTGTTAAAGAATCAGTAAAATTAGAGGTCAATTTACCATTAAATATTCAACTCAGATTGTTCTCATTACTTACTTACTTAATTTTTTCTGGTTAGCGATTTTTTAGCGAGTTGAATTTTTACGGGATGGGATCGTTAAATCCATGCACAACCCTCCTCATTTATGTGGGCTTGCGATCGGCAGTAGCCTTCGGAGGAGCTACAGGTGGAGTTAGATTGTTCTCATATATTATGAATATTCGATGTTAATTAATAAGAAGTACCAACAACATTTCAATCCCCCTCTTAATCCAAGTGTTCGTGTAACATGTCTGAAGTACATATTGGTTTGTTGTTGTACGTCAACAGTTACAAATGATTATCAACATTACGAAATTTAGGTAAAGTGATCCCATTTCACACAGATTGATAACTAATAATCATCTTTCAGATAATCAATTTACTCTAATTGAATTCAATTTCCTCCTCTTTAAAGTCAGAATTATTCTAATCTACTATTTACACAGATTCAAGCTTATTCACAAGTCAAATTAATGTTTCTTCAGAATGTTATCGCTTATTCCTGAAATCCCTGATCATTTTCTCTCCCCATCTAAACATACTCATTTGGGTAGAATGGATAAGAATGAAAACTCATTGACCAACTGTCGAAACAACACAACAAACTAGCAAAATTACATTTGTCGGATGTTCAATTTTCGCTTACCATTATAAGTACTATCCACCATTATCAATCATTGATTAAATTAGAGTAAGTAGTAATGTTAACTTTACAATTCCGTTTCGTGATTGAGTAAACAAACTTCTCTCTCCCTCCCTCCCTCCCTTCCTCCCTCACTCACATACTCACTCAAACACCGTTCTCGTTGACAATGAAAGTAATTCGATTACGAGAATGAATGATGAGACAACACGATTTCACATAATTGACCATTCATATATTAGATACACATTGTTTATCTTGATCAGGTACTCATCTTTAAACTTGAAAAAGGACAAAATGAAACAAAACAAACAAATTTACAATGTACTCAAGGCATCAATTCAGTTGATGATGGAGTAACAAGAGCTATTCCATTATCTATGTTGACTTCTATTCTGATTAAGGGGGAAATCACTTGTCAAGTATGTTATTTGTTTGGAATAATTGATTCTCGTAATGTGAAATTTGTTTAATCTGGTTGGCATGTTGTTTAGGAAGTTTTTTGATGGGATGGAATTGTCAACTCTATGCCCAACCGTCCTCCTAATCCTGAGCTTGAGACAAGCAGTAACTCTAGAACAGCTACAAAATATTGACAAACTACATCCCCAGACAATCACTAATTTGGAATCCTGATTTGAAGCGAAAAAAATGAAGGGCGAAGATCACATTACATCGGGAAATAGAATCAGAAATGAAAAGGATGAATAACAACTGTAACTAATTGTAAATGATTGCCCAGGACAGGGTTTTATCGAGGATGCTGTTTGAGGCCTATGCTCCTGAACGACGGGTAACATGCGTAAGTATGTAAGTAATGTAAAATAAACTATATTTACTAATGTTTGAGAAATGCAGTAATTTGGAAACATTTTGAAATTTTCGAATTCTCAAGAATCTCATTTGAAGCTGAATTTGGTTTCTTGTAAGTTCCATGATAAATTGTCTGATTCTTAACGACTCCTACATATTTCATGCAGTTAGTTCCCTACATATTTTAGTTCCTACATATTTTCTAGATGATATGAACAGAGAAATAAAGAAGCCATGATGAACAATGGAAACTACCTTTGAGAACATTATTTCACTTAATGCAGAGCTTGTGAAACACTATCATTTAGATTTGCCCATTAGTTTATTCTATAAATCATAGGCTTTTGTTTGGTGTATGATTCACTACCATGCTCGTTTCTGTCACAGATCCATCGTAATTTAAACGTAATCTTGTGTGTTTTGTTTTCTTACTTGAATGCCCATTTTGGAAGTAATTGTATTTTCCTAATTGTTTGGACACTGTGGTCATTTTAGTCATCTATTAATTCATGTATCTTTTTACAGTAATCTGAATCGGGAATGAGGAATGAACCGAGTAATGTTCCATTTGACTTGTCTCCTCTCTCATTCTCCTGTCATCCATTCAGGTGATAGAATAGTTTCCGTATCTCTACCCAAAGCAATATATCATGGCCTAAACCTAGATCAAGACACGTTCTCTCCCGCATATTACTAGGTAGACAGATCAAGGCGTAACACTAAGATAAGGTTCAAATTAAATTTCTTTTTATCTTTTATCTTAGTATTTGTTTGTTGATTTGAAGGGTTGTAATTATTTATGGTATGTATTAGGTTTATATTACGTTTAATTAAGGTGTTTGGATCCTATGAGTTTGATGCATTTTTATACCAATTCCGTCCTGTTCTCATTCTTCCTTATCGATCTTCTACTGGAATACATTCAATGCCCGATCATGGTTATATACTACTTATATGGATATAAGTAGCTCACACCACAATGTATGTTTACAATTTTAAATTTCAGTAATGTTGTAATGTGAGGATAAACAATCACATATTCGGCACTAATTACAACGCTGATTGATAAAATACAAAAACCTCACTCTGATATTTTATCTGCAAAATGTTCTTTAACTATCTCAGGTTTCATTGTTCCTGGATTTCCATAACAATTGCTTTTAATTTCTGTTATTCTCTTCTTGATCTTCTTAATCTTTTGCTGTCAGATATTCTATTCCTTAGCCACGATAGATACTACTTATGTCAATATAAGTAGCCTACACTACACCATATCCTATTTTTACATTTTTTTTCTCGTCTCGTTTGTTTTCAAGTACATTTCTAATTTTTCATATGGGAAATGTTATTTATTCAAATATACAGATGAACATTAGTTTCATCTCTGTAACATGATGGATAAATGTTTCATATGTATACCGTTTACATTTATGTTTATTGATGCTTTACATAAACAATATTTGGGATCATATTTTTTTTGTTTACATGAGAATTTTGTAACATTTTGATTACATTTACACTAAAGTTACTTGATATTGATTTATGTTATTATTGGAGGTTGTAGTACCTGATACTATGTTAAGCCCATATAGGTTATTCTAACTTGTGGACAGATCAATTTATTCATTCTTCACAAGCCATTATTTTGACCTTGTTGATTGTGTCTATTTGATTGTACATGAGTTAATTGTTTGCCCTGGTGATTACATTTTTGTAACTTATTTTTTCGTCTGACAATGAATATTGAGATACACTAGGTCACATTGAGTGGTATTACTTGTCTTTTAAGCTGGGCGTTACTTTGTTTCATTCCCCCTTAGCTTCCTCTACTTCATTTCTATTATAATGAGTATATGAGTATATGAAAATTTTGACTTTGATGTTGGTTGACAATTGTTTTAAGTTTCAGATATTCTTCGATTGTAGATATGTTGTTCTTGCTTTGCCAATTCGCGCTTTTACATCTGAATCAGATCCACCGTGTTTATCAATGATGTTGACCAGATACGTAAAGGTTTTTACATCCTCTAATGCTTCTGTGTCAAATCTGAATTGATTGGCGCATGTCGTGTCGTATAGGAGAATCTTGCTTTTCCCGTTTTGTATGTTGAGACCTACTGTTGCTAAGGCTTCTACTACACTGGTCGTCTTCTCCTCTATTCGTTGTTGCGTTTGAGATAGAAGATCATCATACATATTTAATTTACTCCAATATAATATTTTCCGTACCAATGCAAAATCTCATTTGTTATCATGATATGTTGATATATTCAGTGAGAATATTTCACCTATACTTTATATAATAGAATAGATAAAAGGAAAGTGTATTGTGGGAATTTCACTAAACAATAAAACTATTCACTATTCACTGTTCACGCATCACCTACTGTCTCATTAACTTCTCCAAAATAAAATTGAAACCAAGAATGTTTTACATATCATTTGAATAGTGAACATATTGGAAGTGATTGACAAAGCATTGATAAAGGATACAAACACAATTTGTTGTCACGTGTTGTAAATCACTTTTCTTAATGAAGGGGAAACAAAGATATGAGCTATATCTCACTTATGTTAACCATCTATTGTCAATATACACAGTAAATAAATCATAAGAAGATAACTCAATGAAGTGTTAATCATACAAGTGGTAAACAGGATACAAATTCATTGATTTAATTATAACAGATTTCATAGTTGAAATCATGAGTCAATTGAAGATAGACCCCCATGGTCACTAGTGACTGACTTCAAGGGATATTTCCTTGAGTTTTAGTCGGAAGTAGTGACCAGTGGAGTTCAACCAAGTCTGTAGTAGAGATATTAACTAACTGAAGACAATTGGTGAACGGTTTCTCAAACATCGTGGATTAGTTGAAGTTAGATGCCAGCTCAGTGGTCTATCGGTTGAGTGCGCGAGGCTGATAGTTCCTGTGTTCGAATCTCACGAGTCGGGATCGTGGATGCGCACTGTTGAGGAGTCCCACAATAGGACTAAACTGCCATCCAGTGCTTCCAGGTTTTTCATGGTGGTCTAGTTTGAATTGATCATGATTTCAATTATAAAGATACTGAAATCTCCATAAAACCCCTTCTGATGTATAACAGCTTGTCTATAAACAATAAATCAAACAATATGGTCATCACTATTAATATTATTTACATTATTCGATTCCAGACAAAAGAAAGATAAACATTGTACTGTGGTGATAAAATACTGTTTGATATTTTGATATCAAATAATGTAGAAGCGGGATTGTGGATGCGCACTGCTGAGGAGTCCCACAATAGGACGAAACGGCCGTCAAGATGTGCTTCCAGGTTGAGGAAACAACCCAACTGCGTCACAAGGCAAGTCCTCACATGGAATCCTCAAGGCCAAAGGAGAAGTGGAACACCAAAGAACACATCACGCCGAGAAATGGAGACAGATAGAAGTAGAAAGGAAGGCGGAGGATAGAGTGGGCTGGAGAATGCAGGTCGGCGGCCTATGATTCATTGAGGGTAGCAGGCGTAAGTAAGTAAATAAGTCGAGTTGGCTCACATATCTTCAATGTGTAACATTTCGCCTAGCTTCATTTTTCTCTCCCTTCTTCTCTTCCTTCGCTCCATCTTCCTGATTGTCTGTTCAGATCAACGACTGTACGAAATACACGCATTCACGTATTTGACTTATTTAATTCCGTTATTCAGTAACGCGAGTTCAGTCCATAATTTTATACTGGGATAGCAAGGATGTATATTTCAACAGCATTCATTCACATAACCCACTAAATCAATGTAACACTAGTTAGATTGAATTCTATTTACAGAATATTATGAAGATTCTGAACTTAATCCTCTTGATCAAAAGAAACAGTATTAAATAAGAATGGAACAAATGTCTGAAGTGTCAAAGTTGAAACAAAGAGAATAACCAATATAGTACAGTTGTACTTTAGTAGTAATATACATATCACACATCAATTTATATTATTCTACCTATTTTGCTTTACATATTTCATAAGTTATAGTGTGGTGTGTGTTACTGATATCCACATAAGTAGTATATGGTGATGGTCGGGCATTGAATGTATTTCAGTAAAAGATCAATAAAGAGAGAACGGGAACGGCACGCAATTGGTACGAATATGTATGAACAATAATAATCGGAGACTATGGACGGATATTTGCAGATGAAACAGTCAAATTAAGATAATAGATTGTTATTTTGCAAATGAACTGTTCACTATATGGTTCTCATATATACATCTGATTATCCCTACCCATGTTATTGTTCACTAAAATAGTACATTTGATATTTCCAAAAGAATAAATGCCAACTTACAAGGAGGGATTAGTCTTAGGAAAATGTCAGCTACATGTATATATGACTAACCATTCATTAAGACTTTTCTCTCTATCTTATATCTGACACCAGTTGTTTTTATTTTGTTCAGGTTATTTTGATCTTATTTAATGTTTGAAATAAACACAATTGTTGTTATGTTAGTTACCTAATTGATTACAAATGGTTTATGGTGTTGTTAGTTTGTAAATAGAGGGAACGATATCAACTTCAATTTTCTGGCGATCGAATAAACCTTACTTTATGTCTGTGTGGCCCCCAAATGCCTTGGTGCGGCCGGGAGTGAAGAAAGTCCTCTCTCCCTCTCCAAAT